TATCCATTTGCAGAAAAATGAAACAAGACCTATATCTCACACAATAAACAAAACTAACTCCAAGTGGATCAAAAACTTAAAAGTAAACTAAAACTATATATAAAGTTCCTCAAGGAAAAAACAGGGGCAAATTTAGGGGCCCTAATATATGGCATAAATAGACTGTCAGGTATAACCCAAATACACAAACAGCAGAAGAGAAACTAGATGAATAGGACTGTCCCAAAATTAAATTTTTATGTGCTTCCAAAGGCTTCTCCAGAAGACTAAAAAGAGAAGGAAAAAATATTCACAATGGCACACTTGAGAAGGGACTTATCGCTAAGATTCATAGAGAGGTCCAACACCTCAACACCAAAAAGATAAATAATCCAGTTCAAAAATGGGAAGACCATTAGAGAGATGCAAATGAAAACAACAATGAGATACCATCTGGCCCCAGCACCAGTAGCAAAATTCAACAAGACAGAAAATAACAAATGCTGGTGAGGATGTGGAGAAACTGGGACTCTCATTCACTGCTGGACTGTCAAATGATAAAACCACTGTGGAAAGTAGTATGGCGATTCCTTAAAATGTTGCAATTAGAAATGCCATTTGACCCAGGAATCCCATTAATTACTAGGACCTAATGAAGTGGGAGCCAAAACAAGAACAGATACATGCACACCCATGTTTATCACAGCACCATTTACAACAGCAAAAAGATAGAAACAACCTAGGTGCCCATAAACTGAAGAATGGATAAGCAAACTATGGTCCATACACGAAATGGAATACTATGCAACACTGAAAAATAATGAAGAATCAGCGAATCACTTCCTAACGTGGATGAACTTGGAGGACATTATGCTGAGTGAAGTAAGTCGATCACAGAAGGGCAAATATTCTGTTAGTTCACTATTTGTAAAAAATCAAAGAAAGGTTTAGATGTGGAAGGAAACTTTCTTTGTTGGGTTACCAGGGATAGGCAGGGACACTGCTAAACTGGTAGGGGCAAACACTGATTTGAGTGAAGGGGAGGGCAGTTACCACAACTGAGTGATCCCCATGGTGGCCCTGAGGCAGAGGAAGACAGAGAGAGGTGCATGGGAGGTACAGGCAACAGAGATGAACCCTTGTGCGTGTACAGTACTGCGTTGTCAGTGAGGCAAGCACTGATCTACAGGTGGATAGATAGGTGGACAGGCTGAACAATCAGATGTGTCTAGACAGGGAGCAGTGTGACATGACGTGTACAGGGTTGGCAGACAATTGTTTCTACAAGAGCATTTGTATGTGCTGTAATAACGTCCAGATATATAGTAGAGCTGACAAGGGGCAAGGTTTTGGTGGCTTCTTGGTCACTCCCAGCTACCCTGAGGGAGTGAGTAGTTGGACCTGTTGGCTCAGGACCATGGTCACAGGGGATATCAAGCTCACTGGCATAACATACTATACAAAAACATTGTTGGAAACAATTAGTCCAAGAGACTGGTAGACCATGTGATCCTCAGCCTATCTGACCCTGAGACCAGAAGAACTAGATGGTGCTCAGCTACCACCATCAACCACTCGAAATGGGATCAGTGCAGGAGATTCCGGATAGAGTGGGAGAATAGTGTGGAACAAAACTCAAAAGCATAAAAAAAAAAAGACCAGCCTTACTGGTCTGACAGAGCCTGGAGAGACCCCTGAGACTATGGCCCCTAGTTACCCTTCAGGTTTGGAACTGAACTCATTCCTGTGGCTTCCAGCCAAACAACATACAGGCATATGGGGTGAACATTTATATCAGGTAGATACACTCCTTGGAACGATCTATCAGTCCTGGGAGAACAGAAGGACAGTGTTTGCACAGGGAGATAGCTCTGGGGACAGAAGTGCATGGGAGGGAAGGACACAGGGAAGAGGTAACTGTGGGCAGGAAGTGGGCAAAAAGTTGTTAACACTGTGGGGAATTGCAGCCAATGTCATGAGACAAAATGTGTATGAACTACTCTATGGAAAATGAATTTGCTCTGTGAACTTCCACTCAAAATCACAATAAACATTTTTTTTAAAAAAAGAAAAAGGGATTATAACCACAGGCATTGATACCAAAAAAACAAACCCACTGTCATTGAGTCAATTCCAACTCATAGCAACCACCACTGGCTTTCCAAGATGGTCAGTCTTTATGGAAGATTGCCCAGTCTTCCTTCTGCAGAGTGGCTGGTGGGTTTGAACCGCGAACCTTCTGGTGACAGAGGTTAGGATTTACAATACGTCCAATCCAATCCATGACACAGCTCTACTCATCGTCACTAAACGGTGGAAGCAACTGAAAGGTCCTTCAACTGGTGGGCGGATAAACTAACTGCAGCACATTCACTCACCAGAACATTACTCAGGAATAAAAACCAGTGAGCTACCACACCACGAAAAGACATGGAGGAACCTTCCTGCAATGGCCAAATGAAAGGAGGCAGTCTGAAAAAGCTACCGAAAAACCAAACTCACTGCCACTGAGTCAATTCCGACTCATAGCGACCCCCATTGGCTTTTCAAGCCTGTAAGTCTTTACAGAAGCAGACTGCCTCATTTTTGTTCTGCAGAGTGGCTGGTGAGCTCGAACCCCTGACCTCTGGATTAGCAGCCAAGTGCCTTGATCACTACACCGCCAGAGCTCCTGAAAAAGCTACAGATGGTGTGAAAACAACTGTGTGACATTCTGGAAAAGTCACACTACGGGGTAGATCAGGAACAGGGGGAAGGAGGTGAAGAGGTGGAGCACTGGGGGTTTCCAGGGCAGTGGAACTATTCGGTAATGACAGTTCACACAATACCGCCATGGTGGACGCCTGGCATCGCGCCTCTGTGAAAACGCACGGGGCCGTACAGGACAGCGTGCAGCCCAAAGCCAACCACGGACCTGCCTTGATAACACAGCAGGGCAAGCTCAGCAGGGCAGGTAGTGTGCCAGGGCATGGGGTTTCCATCAAAGGTGACTCAAACACACCTAGAAACTATGAGAATGGCTGCATGACGCAGTGAACGCAACTAATTTCACTGGACACAAAAAATAGTTAGAACGGCACATGTGCTGTGGCTGGTGGGTTTGAACTGTTGACCTTTTGGTTACCCAAGAGCATACTCATTTGTGCCAGTATGTTAATTAAACAAGACCACAGAGGGAAACGTGTGGGCCCATTTTGGGCCCTGCTCTGCCTGGGTGCTCACCCAGCCTACAAATGTGTGAGGAGTTCCTACCGTCTCTGTGCTTACAAAGGTGGGGAGACACCCAAGGCTTGGCGGGGCACACGTGAGGGTCGGGCAGGCTAGCGGTGCCATGGAGGGGAGAGAGGACAGTGTGAGCAGAATGGCAGGGTGTGGAGGGGGCCGGTGCCCTGGCCAGTGGGTCTCAAGGCCTCTGCAGCTGAGCTGTCCCAGGGGCAGTAGAAGGAGCACCAGCTGTGTGCCAAGCGGGCACCAGGCACTGTCCTGGTTGGGCACTTAGTTCCACAGCCTGAGGTTCAAAGGCCGAGAGAGAGATTAGACAGAGACAGAGAACAGAGAGACAGAGATAGACAAGGACACAGAGAGAGACAGGCAGACAAGAGACTGAGACAGACAGGGACAGAGAGAAAGACAGGAGAATGAGAGCTAGAAAGACAGGCAGAGAACAGAGAGACAGATAGTGAAGTGTGAGGAGACAGTGACAGACAGAGACAGGCAGAGACAGACAGAACTGAGAGACAGAGGCAGGGACGACAGCCCGGTCCCCACGGGGACACGGGAGAATTCTGACGCAGAGGGAAGGGCCCAGAGTGAGACTGCCCCTGTTGGCGGCCAAGCAACCCCTCCCTGCCCTCTGCACCTCCAGAGGCACTGCCCAGGGGGAAATGCGGCCAGCGTACCCCCAACCAGAACTGTCTGCCTGCGTCTGGGGGACATGCTGGAAGCAGGCATGAACAGTGCTCGCAGTCAGGCCTGGCTGCAGGACCGACTCAGAAACTGAGCTCAGCAGCAAAGCCCAGGCCTGGCGCGCCCTCTAGTGGCCGCCTGCTGTAAGTCAGGTACAGGGAGCGCCCTAACTGGGACCTGGGCAAAGAACGGGGGATGCCAACAGGGGCAGGAGTCAGACCAGGTGAGCTGGGAGGTTTCCCTGAAACCAGGCAAGTGCCTGGGAGGGAGTGAGGCGGAGAAGGAAGTGAGGCTCTGGTGGGAACACCCCATTCCCTCTCCCCGACCAGATAGCCTTGAAAAGCCCTCTCCCTGCAGAAACCCAGAGCCCAGCAGGGCCGACCAAGGCAAACAGGAGCTCAGAGTCCCTCGTGCTGAGGTCCTGGGGCCGAGCCACCAGCTCTGCCACATGCCAGGGTACCCTCGTGAAAGTGAACGGTGTCTCCTGCTCCCTGCAAACCTGCGGGCACCTCCACCTGGGTCTGTGGTCACAAGATATCCCCACTCCTGCAGTTATCCAAAAACCTCCAGCGTTTGACCCGCCAACCCCGGATCCCAAGGCAACTTGCTCACAGCAGAGGGGACACCACAGTGGAAACAGGGCCGTTGTCCCACTGGTCCTAACACACACTGAGGGGCCAGCTTGGAGAGAACGTGGAAAGGACAGGATGTCCCAGGATGCCACACGCATACGTCTTCCACGGCATCACACATTGCCATGTCCCCGCAGGTGGAGCCCTCGGGCCCAGGAGCCTGGGTAGGGGCATGTTTCCACTGAACATCACCCCCAGACTCACTCAGAACCTTTCTGCTTCCCATCCTCCCAACTGTAGGCTCCCTGGGCCCAGACAGGAGACACTCCGTGAGAAACAGGGGCAGTTCCACAGCCTTTATGTCACAGCTACCACCTGGCCACTTCCAGCTCTTTGTGGCAGGAGACCAGCAGGAGGTGGCAGATTGTGCCCCCAACAGCATGAGCTCCCAGACAGGAGGGGGCCCCCACCAGCAGGGCTCCCAGGCAGCACTCCCTCCATGCCCGAGTGCCCACCCCTCCAAGGCCCTGCCTGCTTGCTCACCTTACATGCCGTGCCCAGGAGGGTGCCGTCGCGGCTCCACGCTGCACTCTGTACCAGGTCCCCATGGGCCGCCAGCTCTGCGGAGAAGGAGCCACGGTCAGGAGGGGTCCGGGCAGTGCAGATGAGCCTGGCTCGGGGTAACTCCCCAAGGCAAGGACAGCTGCTCCAAGCACCCCTCCAGCCGGGGCAGCGGGGATGATACTGTCAGCCCCACTTCCCCTGAACGAGGGAGAGGCTTCGTCCTCCAGCCCTCCTCGCACCAGGCCATGCTGGCCCTCAAAAGCCTACAGGCTCCCTCCTCCTCGGCCTGGCTCTCGCTTCCCACCCAGGCTTATTCCCAGGGACTCCCCTGCACTCTCTGTCAGCCTAAGCGGCACCAGCCCACGGCCCTGCCACACTCACCCCCCTCAGGGCCTCTGCTCCTGCCCTCTGCACACTCCTCTCCTAGTGCGGCCTCCCTAGTGCGGCGTTCTAAAACACGTCCACACGTTCTGACATTCCTCCCCTCAACGTGAAGCCTGATCGCCCTCCTCGTGGGCATGACTTAGTGACTCGTGTCTAACAAAGAAATCTGGCGGAAGTGATGGTGTGAGCGTCTCAGAGGTAAATCTCCTAAAAGACACTGTGGCTTCCTCTTTGCCCGCCCCCCCCAGGAGAAGCCATGTTGTGAGGACACTCGAGCAGCTAGCTGGTGGAGAGGCCGACACAGGGTGGACCTGAGGCCTCCAGCCAACAGCCACCACCGTGGGAGGGAGCCGTCCTGGAAGCAGATCCCACAGGCCCAGTAAAGCCTTTGGATGACTGCTGCCCTGGACTACATCATTAAAAAAAAAATCATTATTTGGTTGTTGTTGAGAATACACACAGCAGAACTCACACCAGGGCAACGATTTCTCCATGGACAATTCAGCGACATTCAGTGACACCAACCACGTCCATTCTCACCCTCCATTTCTGAATCGCCCCTCCCCCACTGACATCAACTCACTGCCCCCTAAGGTTCCTATCCAAACTTTTGAGTTACTGTTGTCAATTGGATCTCGTATATAGTTCTTCGAAGAACACAACCCTCAAGGCAGAATTTTTTTAAAAAAGTATTAAGCTAAAGTATTGTTTCCTTTAAGGAAGACTTCAGGGAATATTTCTGGTATAGGGTTTAAAGATGATCTCAGTGCAATAGCTTCAGGGGTTCATCCAGCCTCAGTGCCTCCAGAAAATCTGGATTCCATGAGAATTTGAAATTTTCTTCCTTATCTTCCCCCTTTTTATCAGGTTTCTACTATAGAATCTTGCTTAAAACGTTCAGTAATGGTAGCCAGGAACTATTCAGTTCTGGACTTACAGCAAAGAAAGTAGAATCAGTCTTGGGGCAAATTAGCCGCACATTCCACATCCTCCTTCAGTTCTTGACTCTCCTTCCTCCTTGCTCCCTCTCTCTTGGATTGTCCCCTCTGGGGGAAGCCAGCTGCCATGTTGTGAGGGCACTCGAGCAACCCAGGAAGAGGTCCCCATGAGGAGGAACTGAGGTTTCCAGCCAACAGCCAGTACCACATGAGGGAGCCATCTTGGAAGCAGACCCTCCAGCCTCCAGTCAGGCCTTCAGATGCCTGCAGCCCCAGCCAACGTCTTGACTGTACCCTCCTGAGAAAATCAGAGCCGGGGCCACCCAGCTAAGCTGCTCCCCAGTTCCCGACCCATAGAAACAGAGATGGTAAATGTTCATAGTTGCTTTAGCTCTGGAAGTTTGGGGGTCAAGTGTCACACAGCAATGACTGCTCTACCAAGGCTGGAGTCCTGGATGGTGAGAACTATTAATATGCTCAGCTGCCAACCAAAAGCTTCAAGGTTTGAGCCCACCTAGAGGTGCCTCAAAGAAAGGCCTCGCAACCCACCTCCATCGAAAGGCCCGTGGAACACAGTTCTAGTCTGGCACGTGTGGGGACGCCATGAGTCAGAACCAAATCCAAAACAACCAGCGGGGGAGGCGACCAGCACGGACACTCCTCTGGGATTAATCCCAGCTCTGCTATCTGCTCGCGTGTGGCCATGCCATCTACCCAGGCCTCCTCCACCCGCAGAACAGTGACAACTACTTAAGACCAGTGAGGATGAACCCTGGGGTCAGGAAGCCCTCGACACAGGGCTGGGCACGCAGGAAGAACTGAGAAGTGGCACTCGCAGTTGGTTTTCCTCCCTGATGACGTGCTATCCGGTCGCCTTTACCTCTGCTTTACGGGTGAGGCCACTGTCCTCAACTGCCCTGGCTCACTGGGGCCACGGCCCGCACCACACCCATCATTTCCACATCCCTCGTGGTGCAGGAAGAGTCCAAGTGGGCATCGGCTGAGTCCTTAGTAACGGATCCTGTCGAGAGGGAATCCCTTAGGCAGCCTTGCTGTGCTGTGGATGGTGGCTGACCCTTTGCTCCCAGCCCCAGAGGCCAGAGAGTCACCGCAGGGAGCTCAGCCACCTTTCTGAGTCTCACCCAACATCTCTGTCTTCCAAAGGGGGTGAGGGTGCAAAGGAGGACCCCAAGAAAGGATGGGTGACACCATCGCAGTGCACCACACATGAGTCACATGAGTAGAACTGCATCATTTGAGCAGAGCGATCTGACCCAAATAGCCCCAGTGGTGCAACGCTTAAGCACCCGGCGGCTAATAGAGAAGTGGACAGTTCAAAGTCACCAGCCGCCCCCTGGGAGAGAGATGAGGCAATCTGCCCCTATGAGGACAGCCTTGGAAACCCTATGGGCAGTCCTACCCTGTCCTATAGGGTTGCTGAGAATTGGAATAGACTCAATAGGGCACAACAATAACATGTTAGGAAAGGAGCCCTGGTAGTGGCACGGTTAAGCGCTCAGCTGCCAGCCAAAAGGTTGACTGTTGGAACCTATGCAGTGCCTCTGCAGGTGACAGCCCTGGTGATCTGCTCCCCTAAAGATCACAGCCTAATTGTGGGAGATTACAGTCAACGCCAGGAGACAAAGTGTATGTGAACTGCTGCGTGGAAGATGAACTTGCTCTGTAAACTTTCACTCAAATCACAATAAAATTAAAAAAAAATAAAATAAAAGGATTATAGCCTACAAACCCCACAGGTCACTTCCACTCTGTCACACGGGACGACGATGAGCTGGAATGGACTCGGTGGCACCAAACAGCAGGGACACGGGGCCAGTGAGGAAGGGAAGCGTGCGTGCGGGTTAAGGGGTGGGTGGGAGGTGGGAGCTGCTGAAAGACAGCCAAGCCCTTACGGCCAGAGGTTGGACATTGAGTTCATTTCCAAAACTGGGAACGTTTGTAAGAAATCTCAGGCTGGGGAAGTTATTTAGAGATGGGTGAGGGTTGAGCTGTGTCCCCCAAAAGGAGATGTGCAATTCCAATGCCTGGTACCTCCATGTTTGCAAATAGGGCCTTTGAAGATGTTATAAGTTAACCACTCAAAAAAAAAAAAATAAGAACCATCTGCCATTTAGTCACCTCTGAGTTCTGGTGACTACACGTGTGTCACGGCAGAACCGTGTTCCTCGGGGTTTTCAATGACCAGGTGTTTGGAAGCAGACTGTCAGTCTTTCCTCTAAGGTACCTCTGGACGGACATGACCCCCAACCTCTCAGTCAGCAGCTGACTGTGTCACTCGCTTACACCCAGGGACTCCTTACATAAGTTAACGTGACACCAGAAACTACTGCCCTGAGCTCCTGTTTAAACCAAAAACATCCCCTGAAGTCTTCTTAACACCAAAGAACAGTTTAGCTTAAACAGTGAAAACTGTCTGCCTCAAGCATCATCCTGCTAAGAACGCTCCCCGTGGAATCAAGTTGACAACAGCAGCCTGAGACATGAGATGGGAACCTTAGGGGGCAGTTGGTTGATGTCAACAAGGGACAGACAACTGGGAAAAGGAGTGTGAGAAGGGTCTCACAACTGGAAGAACGGAACTGACGGCACCTGTTCAAACGGCTGAACTGGTGTATGTTGCGCTGTGTGTATTCTCAACAACAGCAACAACAACAAAATAAGTTAAAGAAACAAATAAAGCTAACTAGGGTTGTTCTGGATTAGGGTGTGAGTATGAGTGGTGTCCTTGTAAAAAGTGAGAATGGACACAGAGAGAGAACCAGAGGGAAAGCAGCTCCCTCCCCTACCTAAAGACAGCTGTAGGCATTGGAGTGATGTGTCTGTAAGCCCAGGAATGACAAGGGTTGCCAGGGACCACCAGGAGCTGGAAAAAGCAAGCAAGGATCTTCCCCAAGAGCCTGCAGAGAGAGCAGGTCCTGCCCACACCTGGGTCAGAGCCTTCCAGCCCCCAGGACTGAGACAGTGCGCGTCTGTAGTTTCATGATGCCTGGCTCGGGGCACTTTGTTACAGCAGCCACAGGAAACTAACTCAGACATAGAGACTGACAGCAGAAGGAACAGCTGAGACTTTGGTATGAATTTTAAGATGCGTATCCCCAAAACACGAGCAACTAAAGTGCTGTTCAGATGGGGGTGCAGGTGTTCCTGGAGGGGCAGGCCAGTACAGTCCGTACCTGTGAGGGGCTGCTGCCTGGCCACATCCCAGACCTTCACGGCTGTGCCAGCTGTGGTCACCAGGACGCCGTCAGCGGTGGGGTGGAACTGCAGCGTCTCCACCTGGAGGGCCTCAGGGCCCAGCACCAGCCCAGGGGCTGTGGGCAGGGCCTGGCCTGGGACGGGCAGCCGCCACAGCTTCACCTGCAGGGAAGAGCAAATGTGTGAGCCCTGGGCTAGGGGCCTGGGTGTCCTGTGCCAGAACCTGGCTCTGCAGGACCGTACCCCACCCCTTTGCCCGTCGGTGGGCACGGAGCTGTAGGGTCCTGGGGCAGGAAAGAGAGGCCAACGCCAGAGTCACGGTGAACACAGAGGCCAGTGGGCATGTCACATGAGAGCAAGGATGCTGGGGCTCCACTTGGTCACCTCTAAGCCCTGCTTCCCTCCCAGCCCAGCAAGATCAGAGCCTTCAGACTACAGCTCCCAGTGAGCACCCAGGAGCTGGTTGGGTGGAGGAACTCAGAAATTCTAGCTGCCGCCTCCCCAAACCCAAACCCAACCTGCTGGGGCTGGGCGATTCTGACTGTCGCGACCCCGTGTGTCACAGAAGAACTGCTCCAGAGCGCTTGCTTGGCTGGCATCTTTACACAAGCAGCTTGTCAGGCCTTTCCTCCGTGGCACTGCTGGGGGGGTTCCAGGCACCAACTTTTAGGCCAGTTGCCGAGCACAGACCACGTGCAGTACCCAGGGACCTCCGGCTGCCCCAGCCGGCCCTGAAAGCTGGCAGATGGGCCCTGGGCCCTTACAGGAAGGGATGGGGCTAGACTGGGAGGAAGCACAGCCCCGTGGAGACTCAGAGGGCCCTGGGCTAGGTTGAGGGGCCAAGCAGCTCTCCCCGTGGGCCCCACTCACCGTCCTGTCCGCTGAGCCTGTGGCCAGGAGGAAGTCATCGAAGGGAGAGAAATCCAAGTCCGTGACCAGGTCTGTGGAGGAGCAGTGGTTGACCCAAGGCCTAGGAGAACCCTCCGGAATATTGTTTCCAAACTCAGTGTGACTTCTCCCCCCGGCTGGGAACCACAGTCTGGGGCCACTGCCACCACAGGTGGCTGTAACTACACCTCTGGAAGCCACATGGAAACACCCAGGCCCCTTTCTGCAACACCCGCCCCCAGGAGCCCTGCCGAGCCAAGGTGACCAAGGGCCTGGCCACAGGCGGCCGGCAGGAGGGGTGTCCTATGTCCACCCCTGCCCAGGACCCCACATGCACTGACAAGCATATTGGCAGGCTTAAAGCTACTGCCCCCACCTTCGCCCCACATTTAAATTTAACTCAAACTTCCCACAAGCAAAAGACTCATGATAAAGTCCATTCAGGGAGAAGGTTAAGTCATCAGATAAACTGTAACTGGGCTGCAGAATGCACATACACACACTTAATAAACCAGTCCTGCCAATGAAGTGAATGACAACCAGCTAGGTCTGAAGTCCCCTTTGGGAACTTTCCCCAAACAACGTCTACAGCAGATAAGCTGACCACAAGACAAGCTTGTCCCTTCAGCTGGGTGTACCCTGACCGCAGTTTCTTCTGCCCAAGAAAACCTTTCAGCCCTAGCTGGCTCATCGATCAGGCTTTTTTTTTTTCTGATCAGTAAGTGAAGGAATTTGAGAATGAACACGTCCATCAGCTCCTGCTCTGGGCCTCCTGAGAGATTTGGGCGAGACCGACGCCATCCCAGTCCATGGGAACATGTGCTTCCGTACCAGAAGCCAACACAAGGTTGTACACACCACTGCCTGGTAAGAGATGCAGATGCCAGGGTCAGGGGTCGGGGAGGCTTTTACAGAAGGGGCACAATGGCCCCTGCAGGACCAGGACAGTGAGGGGCCAACAGCGGCCACGTAAACCTTCTCCTGTGGAAATGGCCTGACCTGTCCCCCAAGCCAGAGTGACTGACCCCCGGGCAGGCACCTGCCTGAGCCCAACCAGCCAGCTGCTCCTGCATGTGCGTGTGCACGTGCACTATTTTGTTAAACGCACTGTATTTTTTTAGAGCACTTTTAGGTTTACAGGAAAACTGCATAGGAAGTATGGACTGTTCATAAGCAGCCTGATAGGGACTGAACTGGGTCTCCACAAAAAGACGCACTGAAGACCTAACCTCTGTACCTCCACATGTGACCTTGTATGGAAACGTGATCTTGGAAGCTGTTACATTAACACGAGGTCACACTGAGGAGGGGGCCCAAATCGCATCTGAGTGGTGCCCTTATGTCATGGATCGAATTACGTGCCCCCAAAATACGTGTCAACTTGCCTGGGCCATGAATCTCAAAACCCAAAAACCAAACTTACTACCATCGAGTCGATTCCGACTCATAGCGACCCCCTTTGGGTTTCTGAGTGTTCTGGTTCCCTAGTGCCACTCTGATAACAGTACACCACAGATGGGATGCTTGAACAAACAGGAGGTGATTCTCTTACAGTTTGGAGGCTTTCAGTCCAAGTTCCAAATGCCAGGCTCTAGGGGCTGGCTGAGAGCCCCTCAGCCTTGGGCTTCAGCTCTGCCTCCTGCTCCAAGCCCACTGAAGCTGGAGGCTCTTCACTCAGCTGCTGGCTGCTGAGGCTGACAAACCCAAGGTCGATAAGTGAAAAGGCACAGTCCCAATATTACCAAACCACATGGCAGGCCATTAATTCAAGTCCATTAAAAGTCCCAAGATAGCAGAGCATGGCAGGCTGCTGAACAACAACACAGCTACACGCAGGGTTAAAGCATGCCATAAGCTAGAGACCGTTCCCCAAAGGTTCTCCTTTTATGCAGGAAGCAGGCCACATCCCTAAGGCAGCTACTCAGCTGCTCACAGTAGATTCCACCATGGAGCTGATTACCAGTCTCATCATGGGGAATACTACATCCAGCTGCCCAGGCACTCAACCAGGTCCAGCCAAGTTGACACACAAACTTAACCACCACACTGAGACTATAAATCTTGATGGAAGTAGATCACCCAGTCTTCCTTCTGCGGAGCAGCTGGTGGGTTTGAACTGCTGACCTTCCAGTCAGCACTCAAGTCCCTTATCTACTACACCACCCAAGCTCCTTGTGACTCTCAGTATTATGCAATTATCCTCTATGTTGTGATCTGATGTAATTATCCTGTGTGCTATAAAGCCTCATCTCTATGTTAATGAGGCAAGATACAAGCTATACCATTGGGTAGTATCTTGAGTCAATCTCTTCTGAGATATAAAAGAGATTAAACGAGCCAGCAAAGAGGAAAAGGACCTCAGTAGCACCAAGAAAGAGCCAGAAGCGGAGTGGCTATTCAGGGTCCCTACACTGAGAACCTCCTGGATCCAGGGGAAGATTGATGTCAAGACACGTGGAGATCTCCAAGGGACACTGGGCCCACAGGTGCTGAAAGGAGACAATGACCTTCCTCCAGAGCCGACAGGGAGAGAGAGCCTCCCCTAGAGCTGGCGCCCTGAATTTGAACTTTCCACTTCCCAAATTGAGAATAAATTTCTGTTTGTTAAAGCCACCCCCCATTTGCGGTATTTCTGTTATAGCTGCACTATAGAGAACTAACCACCGCCCACTGCTGTCAAGTTGATTCCAACTCACAGCACTCTTCAAGGGAAGAGTAGAACTGCCCTAAAGGGTTTCCAAGACTGTAATCTTTACGGAAGCATACCGCCACATCTCTCCCCTGCAGAGATGCTGCTGGATTCGAACTACCGACCTTTTGGTTAGCAGCCCAATGCTTTAACCACAGCACTACCAGGAGTAAGACACCTTATGGAAGAGGAGAGTAGACACAGACATAGAGGGAAGACTGCCATGACTGCAAGCCAAGGACCATCTGTGGCAACCAGAAGCTGAGACAGACAACCCTCCTCTAGAACCTTCAGGAACGTGTCAGGAGCGTGACCCTCCTGACACCCTGCACTTGGACTTCCAGCCTCCAGCCTGAAATAGAACGCATTCCTGTGGTTTTCTGCCACTGGCTTTGCGTGCTTTGTTACAGCGCCTCAGGAAACTAGTATGCTCCCTCTGCCCGCTGCAGCTTGTGATATGTGGTACATGTGTTACAAGTGATGAACCGATACTGACACATTATTACTAACTAAAGTCCAGTCACTTCATTGCAGCTCACTGTGTGGCACTGTCCTCCCAGTTGTGACATGCAAATAAACGGGAACTCACAGGTATGTACTCAGCACAGTGCCTGGCATGTAGCAAGCTGCCCAGAAATCTTCCCTGTCACCGTCAGCGGGCCCCTGGATCCCCACGCTGAGTACACCCAGCTAAGGACCAAGGACCAACCTCTTCCCTCACTCTAAGGCCCCTCAACAGGGCAGCCAGGGCACCAGACCAGCTGGACAGGGAAAGAGGAGGCCAGTGGGGTGGGTACTGCCTCAGCTTGAGCAGAGCAAACCACTCCCTCTTGCTGGCGGGCTGCCAGGCATCCCCCGCAGCAGCTGCAGCAGACAAAAGCTCTCTGTGCGAGGGCCCCACCTTGGACCCTGCAGCCCAGCCCCGCCCCTGCATTAGAGGACCCCTAGCAGCCTGGCTGGGGAGGAGCGCTGGTGGCGAGGGCTGTCCTGCTGGGTGCCAGGAAGGGACAGCAGGCTAAGGGCCACCCAGGGCTGAATACACAGAGGTGATGGGAGCCTGGACCTGGGGCCAGAGAAGTTCTTGAGGGCTGTCTGTGCCCAGGGGTCTCTCTTGGCTTGATAACCTGGAGCAGGCCATTCCCCAACTCTGCCCAAGCCAGAATTCTAAGCCTGGGTCCCAACTTCCAAGCCCAAGACTGACTACACAGCAAGGGTGACAGGACGGACTTGGCAGCCACATGCTATGGGGCCAGGTGAGCCTGACTCCCTGGCCCCAGGGAGTGAGGGGCGAGGTGCAGACTTCCAGGGTCCCGCACCCACTCACCTGAATGGCAACCCAGGTGGCTCACACGTCTCTTGTCTTCTCCCTGGCCTTCCAGAGCCACGATGCCTAGCACACCTGTTGAACAAACACAGGGCTCAGCTTCTGGACAAACAGAGACCACCCACCTCCAGGCCCAGCAGACACTAGAGCAAAGCTCCAAAGACCCAAGGCTCCTAGCAGAGGCAAGACCACCCTAGGCCTCCAACAACCTGAGATCACATCCCTCTGGACACAGTGACTGACCCCCCAGGAGATCTTTGCCCCATGCAAGAGCCTTCCATGACCTCTGATGTACCCAAGGCACTAGGGGAAAAAAGTTGTCTCTGTTGTACTGTGGATCACAAGAGGTCAGCTAGTGACCACTTTTCCCAGTACACGGAGACAGTCTACCTGAGAAAGAAGTCAGTCTCCAAGGACAGCAGAGCTGAGGGACAGAGAAAGAGGCCGGGCCCAGGGACTGTGTGTGAGCCCCTGGATCCAGCTATGCCTGAAGCCCCTGGACATTTCAGTTACTTGAACCACATAAGTACCTGTTTTTTATTTAAGCCCGCATGATGTGTCAATATCCCCTGCAACCAAGAGTCCTAACTAACACACTGGAGCTTTTCAAATCTTTGTGCTCCCATGTACCCAGTCACTCCAGGCCCAGTCTACCCCAGGACCAGTGTCTGAGAGCTGAAGAGTAGGCAGGAGAGGAAGACATCTGGAAATAAGATGACCCCAAGCTCTGCTCCTCCTAGACACGGGGGAGTCAGTCTCCCTCCCCAACCTCATGGTCATCTCTTATATACCACAACCGAAGTGGTTTATACAAATCACCCAATCACACCCTAATCTAAGTCAATCTGATTACACTATGTGTAGTCCCATTGGCAGCGGTTCAAGGCTCTGCCTGGCTACTCACCTCTGAGCACCACCAGGCCCCTCCAAGCTCCCCACCTGCGATGAGTCTGTCCACCTCCCCACTCCACCTAAGGTGACACTGTCTACATCTCCACACTTGGGTCCAAGCCCCCCTACCTGGGCGGTCAGAGTTAAATGCAATCAGGCTGCAGCTCGATTTGATGTGGTTCCCACATGAGGGGGCGGTTCCTGCTCGAATGTCATTGATCCAGGCCTGTAAGTAAAAAAGTGGTGGTGTCCTAGCCAGGGCCATAAGGCAAGAAAGGGAAATCAAAGGCATCCATATTGGTAAGGAAGAAGTCAAACTATCCCTATTTGCTGATGATATGATCCTAT